GGAGGCCCTCCGGCTCAGCCGCTGGGCCAGAGGCTGATGGAGGGGTTGGGGGGGACAGCCCATGTCTGGGCCGCAGTGTCAGTGCATCCGTGCGGGACACTTCCAAGAGGCTTCTAGCGGAGGCCTAGCGATGGAGGTCCAAAGGGCAGGAGTTAGCGGAGGAGGTCGCCCTGGAGGCGCTCCGTGGAGGGGGTGCGGGGAGTTTCGGAGCTGAGGGCACGGGGCGGGCGCGAATCCGGGGAGCGAGACTCAGGCCCAGTCTCCTCCCCAGCCACGCCCACCCACCTGCACTGGAAGTGTCTGAGGATGAAGGTGTTCGTCTGCTGCGCCTCCAGTGAGTATAACCGGCTCCCAGCCGCGCCCGCATCCTCAGCTCCCCGCTTTGGGGCTCCCCTCCGGCTTCCTGGGGGTGGGGGCGGAGGGCACAGGCGAGGGGAGGGGCTCGCTCCCCAGCTGTAGCGGAGGGAGGGACCCTGGCCCTGACGCTCCCCTCCTCTCTCCCACCCGCACCCCACCCCGCAGCATCGCACTCCGGGGAGAAGCCGGTCCCCACTCTCCCCCAGTTCACCATGGGCCCTAATGTGAAGATCAACGTGCTGGGTGAGTCTGCGCAGCGCCCTCTGGTGGCCACTGCTGAAGCCGCAGCCCCCTCCCCGGTGCCTGCTCACCTCGCATGCCTTCACTGACCGGGGACAGCGACCCTGCCTGGCCCTGGGTGGTCACGTCCCCAGCCCCACTGCTGCTGCCGCTGCCGCGTGCCCCGCCCGGGCTCGCCGCCCAGCCCTCACCAGTCCGTCTCTTCTTTCGTCCACAGAGGACTTTGAGGGCGAGAACCGCCAGGTGCCCAAGCTCGAGAAGAGCATCAGTGGGACCAGCCCCAAGCGGGAACACCTGCCGCTGGCCGTGGGCATCGCCTTCTTCCTCATGACGCTCTGGGCCTCCTAGCTCTGCCGCTCCCTGGGCAGGGAGAGATGGGGCGGGGCTGGGAAGGAGCAGGGCGCTTGGGGCCTCTTCAAGCCAAGCTGTGGGGCCTGGACCCCGTCTCCCATGGCTGGAAGTGGGGTCTGCACCATACACCTGTGCCTGCCCCCTTTTCCCTCTCTCTCCAGGCGGGCACTGTAGTAGACCAGGTGCAGGGACAGCCACAGGTCCCGGGTGGCCTGGTGATGTTTGGTACCAAATTGGGGGCCACAATGGGCAGTGCTCAGGACTCCCTGCCCACCGGTACTTTCCCTGCCCCCCTGGTATCCTCCCCCTCTGACCTCCCAGAGAGGCGAATGTGCCCAAGAGAGAGCATATCCAAGTCTGGGGGTACCCCTACTCTCCCCTCCAGGGCAGAGCATGGGGAGGGGACTAAATGGGTGAGGGGGTGGCACCGCCCACTGCCCCCTTCCCCTGTTTACAGCAATAAGCACGTCCTCCTCCCCCCACTCTCACCTCCAGGATTGTGGTTTGGATTGAATCCAAGTTTACAATTGACACCCTGGAGGGCAGGCCGTGGACTAGGGTGGCGAGGGGTGGGCATTGGGGTGCCGGGCAGGCATGTACAGACTCTATATCTCTATATATAATGTACAGACAGACAGACTCCCTCCCCCTCCTGACCTCCCTTGACTTCCCCTTGGAGAGCTTCAGACCCCTTCCCCACCAGGCTAGGCCCCCCCGGGGGACCCCCTGGCTCCTCTTTTGTCTTCCGTGAAGACAGGACCTATGCAACGCACAGACACTTTCGGAGACCTTGAGACAACGCCCCACCCCCACCCCGCCCGGAGCCAAACCTGACTCCCAGGACCCGTCCTGCCCACCCGACGTGGCCCCCCGTCCTCCTGGGCCTTATTTCAAGTGCTTTGGCTGTGACTTTGATACTCTGCTCTTAGTCTAAAAAAAATAAACCGGAGATAAAAATACCGGAGTGCGTGTGATTCCAAGGGCCATCCCTCTCCTGTCACCCTTCCCAAACCCCACAGGTCGCGGGGCGGGGGACCAGGGGCCACCCTCTGTGCCTTGTGCCCAGGCAGTAGCTCTGTGTGGAGCAGGGAACAAGGGCCTTCCGAGCTCAGCCCGAGTGAGTGTGGGCAAATCATTTAACTTCTCTGAGCCCCCATAACCAGCCCCTAGGTAAAATTGGGTCATCGCACATCTCTCCCAGGATTAACTTAAGGATTGAATGGCGACGGGAATATAAAGCCCAGCCTAGGTTGGTTTTCCCTCCCTCCCCATCTGTAATCAGAGGTGCTTTAGTGGAGGCTGTGGAATTCTGGGTGTATGTGGGCCTACACAGGGAGGGAGGAAACGTACCTACAAGGGACCTTCAAAACGCTAGTTGAAAAATGGGATTGCAAGGCAGTGGAATTTTCCCATGATTTTTTGGGAAATCCTCTTGTCTTTATTTTCACTCACCTCGCATGGACATTTAGTCTGCTCTTAAGTGGCACTGTCGGGTAATCCCTGTGCTAACTAACTGCAGGGCTGGTGGTTCAAACCTCCCAGCTACCCTGTGGGAGAACGCTGAGGCTCGCTATTTCTCTAAGCATTGACAGCCTCAGAAACCCGGATAGAGGTCACCATGAGTCAGAATGCACTTGATGACAATGGATTTGGGGGTTTCTTAGGTTCTTGGGCAAAAAGCTATGTACGTATTAGCAATTACCTGTGACTTTGTAGCCGGGGAAATCCTAGATGAGGAAGAAGCTTCAAACTACCCTCGAGGCTCATTGCGAATTTGAAGTTGCAGTCGTTAGACCTGCTTTATTTCTAATGTGTTACTAAAGAAGCACACATATCACTGTAACAAAAATTTAAAAATATTTTGATTATTGTTAATAAAAAATGATCTGGCTGCCTCCGACTTCACAAGGGGGAAAGAAGATCGAGACCCGCAGGCCAAGCTTGGCTGATTCCTACGCAGGGAAGGTCAGATATACCTCTGCTCTCCACCTCTTTTTCTCCAACCAATTCTGACACCAGCCATCGGCCAGAGCATTACAGACCACATTCATGATGACGAGGTTTATTAGGGAAGGGGTAGGTTAGGAATCAGGATCAGGAACAACTCGGGATACAGTTCTCCCATCAGATTATCTGTTCGCAGCCCTGCTCACTTGTAGGCTTTTCTCTGACCTCTGCTTTCCTGGTCCTCCTCCCAGCCTCTGCCTTCCTTGCTCAGGCAACTGTTACCAAGCTCTTTTACTTCGGCCAACACACCCTACTCTGCCGTGAAGCCTTGGCCAGAAGGTGTTCAGCTCTCTGGCTCCGGGGTCAGCAAGCCTAGTTCCGCCTGCAAGTGCCAGGAGGCACCCCACTCCACCAGGAAGCCACCTGCCCAAAGGCTCTGCACTCCGATCACGCCTTTCCCAGTGAGCCGGGAAGTCCACGCGTCATCTCTTGCCTGTTTCCTGGCTCCACTGTGCTTCTCCTTCTCTTGCCCTCTCCATTAATAGAGCTGTTGTCTGGGTCTAGGACAGCAGTTCTCAACCTGTAGATCGTGACCCCTTTGGGGAGGTGGAACGACCCTCTCAGGGGTCGCCTAAGACCATCATCTGAAAACATATTTCCGATGGTCTTAGGAACCCAGACACAGCTCCTCTATCCGTCTCCAGGTGGGTCCGCCCACACGCAGATATGCCCACATATGAGCACCCGGCGTGAAGACTGTTACCCACGCTACACCATGCTTTAAGACAAACTTTCATTTATTTGTCATTAGAAACAAATATCGCACACTATAGAATTACATATTGTTTTTGTGATTCATGCCTGTGCTTTAATGATGTTCAATTTGTGGCAATGAAAATACATCCTGCATATCAGATATTTACATTGCGATTCATAACAGTAGCAAAAGTACAGTTTTGAAGTAGCAACGAAAATAATGTGATGGTTGGGGGTCCCCAGCACATGAGGAACTGTAGGAAAGGGCCGCAGCACTAGAAGGTTGAGAACCACTGCTCTCTCGGGTGCTCAGGCCCCGGGGATACATTCCGCTCTTGGCTCTTTTTCTTCCTCTGGGATGGTTCACTTTAAACCTGGCAGGGACTGACCAATCTTCTTGTTAGGGTACCATGCCCCTTTATTTGCATAATATCGCAAGGTCCCATTCCCTTGGGAGCGCCACAAGTACTTAATTTGCATAGTCCCACCCAATCATTAGCTAGGAGTTACCAGACCACAGGGGGGGTAGGAGGAGGCCATATAAAAGAGATGAATTGCATTACAGTGTGTGTGTGTGTGTGTGTGTGTGTGTGTAGAATCACCCTGTATTTTAATGCAATTGGTTTCCTTTTTAATCCTGTGTGATTTTATTCGTTTGTTTAAACATCACTATTCTGAGAAAGGGCCCCCGGACTTCACCCCAGGGCCAAAGGCATCCACAGCACAAAGAACGGTTCAGAGGCCCCGCTCTGCGGCAGCGCAGGCGATGTGGCCGCTACGCAGTGCTCAAAGGCTCGCCTGCAGGCTGGGGGTTGGTGGGTTCACCCTTCTCACTGGCTCAGCGGGAGAAAGGCCTGGCTGTCTCTGGTCCTGCAAGGATTCCGCTCGGAAACCCTACGGGTGCCACCCTACCCCTCACAGACCCAAGTGACAGCACCCAGTGAGGACCACAGAAGGCAGCAGGGCCCGGAGGGTGCCCAGCAGGGGCGCCACATGCCTGCAGCAATGACCCTTCCGCTGGCCCTGGAGAGGGAGCAGCTGTCCCAGTAGTGGCCTGGGAGAGGAGGCAGGGAAAGCGCCAGGGGGCCAGGCCGAGACGCCCGGGCTGGGTAGGCCACTGTTCCCTCGTTCATTCGGGCGACATTTACTGAAGACTTAGCCAGGTCACAGGCTGGTGGGGCCTGACTGGAAACGGAAAGACTGGTGGTGTGCATCCACCCCGCAGTGTCACAGACAAGCAGGCCTGGTGATCTGTAGGATTCCAGCAACTGAAACCCTCTGGGCTCGATGCCAGCGAGGTGTGTGAAGCGCCAAGCTCTATCCTGGGTGGTGGAGATAAGGAGAAAAGATGATCGCTACTCCCAAAGCAGCTCGTGGTTTAGTACGTGCTGATGTGTGAAGAGAAGTGAAACACACACAGGCATGACGTGGTGAGCCGCCCCGCGAGAAGGGAGCATGCCTGCCGGGGACGGGAGGAGGCTTCAGGGAGGAAGCGGGGCACGTAGTGGTCCCCTGTGGTAGAGGGTTTGGTGGGAGGGAGGGCTTGGGGCTTTGGGCTAACAACTTTACTGACATGTCATGCACACACCGTGCAATCTAGCGGTCCAGTCACAGTCAAAGAGAGCTGTGCATTCCTCAGGACAATCCGTCTGCGAATGTTGGCTGCTTTCTTGTCCTCTGTGTCCTGAGCCCCCATTTCCCCCCAACCACCCCCTACTGTGGAGATTGGAAGGCTGGCCCAGGACCGAGGACTTGTCCCCTGGGGGGAGGCAGGGTAGTAGGCATAGGCTGCAGGCGTCCTCAAACCTAGGGCCAGGCGCAGTTGGGACTGGCCAGCTGGCGTAAAGAGGGCCTTGGGTTTCAAAGATCTGAGAACGGGAAGGCAGTGAAAGGGGCAGGCACCGGGAACCAGAACAAGGTGGCTTCTTTTTGCTGAGCACCTAGTATGTGCCAAGTGCTTTCTGTGGATGGTGAGCACCGTGTTCTTTCCAGCATCACTGTTCTAATGACCCGGGAGAGAGAGGAGGCCGTCTGCTCCCTTAAAGATCTATAGTCTCGGCAAACCCTAAGGAGCCATTCTGCTCTGCCCTGTGAGGGCGCTGTGAGTTGGAATTGACTCGATGGATGTTTTTTTTACATTGCTGTCTGTACTAGTCTGGGTACTTTTTTTTTTTTTTTCTCTGTGTATTAGTCTGGGTACTTTAGAGAAACAAATCCACATCAACTCATGTATAAGAGAGAGTTTTATGTAAAGGTTAAGTGTGCATCAAGAAACTATCCCAACCCAGTGCAGCCCAAGCCCACGAGTCCAACATTAACCCATTAACCCATATGTCCAACACCAGTCCACAAAGTCCTCCTCCATCTCACAAAACAGACGCAATGATGCCGACTGCAGGAGGAAAGCCAAGTCAGTGAATGTGTAAGTATCTCAGCACTGTCAGGGGTCTCCACACGGCTGCTCCAGCACCCAGGGTTGCATGGGGTAGGTCCATGTGGCTTCTCCTTGGGGATGTCTTGCAGGAAGTCAGCCTTGCAAGCTGGAGCAGGGAGCTGCTAAGACAGCTGCGCCCTGGTGTGACCATCACAAAGCAAGAGACCGGAGAACTTGAAAGGCAAGGCTCACCGAGCCATTTATCCCTCCGCCCTTCAATTAGCCCCACATGCGTTTATCGGTCAGGTTGGCACAATTAACTAACCCTCAATGTCGTTGTCACTATTATTTGGCGCCATCGAGTTGGTTCCGACCCATAGGGACCGCATACACAACAGAAGGACACACGACCCGGTCCTGCGCCACCTCCACAAGGTTGTTCTTGTGGAGCCCAAGGTCGCAGCCATGGTGTCAGGCCCTCCTGTCCAGGGTCTTCCCTCTACTTTATCAAGCATGATGTCCTTTTCCAGGCGCCGGCCTCTCCTAATTACATGTCCATATGTGAGATGATGTCTCACCATCTGTGTTAGGCTGGGTTGACTAGAGAAACACATCCAGTGGCACTCATAGATGTGTAAGAGAGAGCTTTATATGAAGAGGCCAGTATCTCTCAGGAAAACATCCCAGCCCCGTCCAACTCAGTCCCTCCCCAGGCGCGCGCAGCCACATGCAACGATGCAGAATGCAGGAAGACCGGAGGTCGGTAGGCGAAAAGCCTTGTGGATCCAATGGCGGTGGAAGCATCGCAGGGCTGGCGCAGGTCTCAGCGTGGCTTGCCAGCATGAAGAGAGAGGGAGGTTCCCA